GGTTGAGGTAACGCATATTGGTAATGTCGTATTTTACTGCTGCTATCGTGTGAGGATTCGGTGTTCACCATTGTTGGCCTGAAAACATTTGTTACTTATTCCTCCAGTTTTTGCCGTGGGTAAAATGTGTATGTTGTAGCTTTCTACAGTAGCACCTCATTGATGACCTCACCAAATTTACCAAAAAGTAAAAAATGATATTTATCTGTTTTCAGTTTCACCTCTAGTCTGAAGATAGGAAGCTCTGAGGTATTCCATAATCTTTGAATGAATTACAAATACAAATTCAATTTTGAATGAACCGCGTCATTTATTTTGAAGCCCCACTGTAGAATCCGCTTAAATCGCTTTCGTTATTGACAATCAGCGTCTGCTCTCCCCAGATTGTATTGCACGGCGTTCTCAAGGAGGTTCCACTATATTTTTTTGAGAAAAATAGTATAGGGGACGATGAATTCGTCGCCCGCTGGGAATGAACATAGAGCCGCGAAGAGGTGCAGCAGTAGAGAAATAAGAGGAAGTGATATAAAACCCTCAAACGGAACCCGCTTTTTCCCTGTTGATTTCTGCGTTGGGCAAGTCTTATCGGTGCTTACATAGTAGTCTACGTGAACCCTCTGCTCTGCCACTTTGCTCATATGGCTAGAGTCTGACAGCGAGGAACCAGCAGCTGGGGTAGTAGGTGAAGGCTTGGTTGGCTCGGACAAAGCAGGACCCAGGGTTCGATTCCCGGCCCGCGCAAGTGGTAAGCCTGCCACTTGCCACTACACCACTTCCACCCTGCAAAACTTAAGTTTTTTCTGCCTTGTCCTCTTTTTCACGACGTCTCATTTTAGAATGGTGATTTGATTTTGATTTATAGGGTAGGGGGGGGGGGGGGCGTGGACATATCGTCATGCACTATCCATTCCCAAAATCACAAAAAATGATTTCTCTTGGATGAGCAATCGGCCAGAAAGGTCATAGGTTCTGTTTCTGGATAAGAAGTGCCCTTTGGTGAGATGCTTAAACATGGCTTAACTGTCACTCAAAATTGAGCTCCTATCGAACACTGCTGCCAAATCTGAAGTTCGTCTAGTCATTCACTTTTTGTGCGCACAAGGCCTTCAACCGGTTAAAATTCTTCGCTAGCTGGAGGAAGTGTATAGACGATTGTGCATGGATGTTAAAAACGCATGTCCGGATTTGGTACGAGATTGCCACTTTCTCGGAGTCAGTAAACGCTTTCTTGACGGCAATTCGAAGGCAAATTGAAGAATTGGCTGCAACATTCCTGACAGGGCATTTCTGAGCAGATACGATGATTAGTGTGAAACTGTCACAGTGTCCAAAAAATTTCCTAGACCGGAGTGGCGATTGTGCAAGAAATAGGGCGCTATCGCAAGATGAGGGGCATTATAGTGGCAATTGATTTGAAATCGCGTGAAACATTTCCACATGTTCAAACGGGACCAAGCCTTAGGCCGATGTCAGACTTTGCGAATCGCGCGATTCGCTAGCGTCCGCGGTCGCGTTGCGGTACCAGCCAATTGAGTGATTCACTGGCCGCGACGCGACCGCAGACGCTAGCGAATCGCGCGATTCGCAAAGTCTGACATCGGCCTTAAGCGGAAGAGGAAAGACTTCAGGGTGCGTGAACAATCCACATTTTCCCAGTTCTTGCCCCTTTTTAGGCGCTGTGCTGGGAGTGCCCCCGCATCTTGCGGTAGCCCGTAAAAGAATGGGTCAGTATTCAACCCTATCTACGAAATCGAAAAAAAAACAACTTCGTCTTACATGTCGAAGCAGATTAGTTAATTTCTCATCACCCAAAACTTACCCTCTAATACAATTTAAATTCTTGAATTAAAAAAAAATTCAGTCAAAATTCCTAGTCGACCAGTAACCATTATAATCATTTTTAGTTTCTATTTGATGTTTTTGAAACCACTTGAATGCGTAGCGAAAAAATCTCACCTAATCACATTTTCTGCAAGCCCTTCATATTCGGAAGCCGACTCATCTGGTTCTAAAGTAATTTAAAACCTACTTAATGATCGGCAATAAAGCTGGTTGCAATAGGAAAAATGTGTCCAGTACCAGTTGACTGCTGACGCGATGGCTCGCTAATGAACCTCGAAGTGTCGTGGAACGAGTAGCCATTCATCTCGATACGTGGCGCTTCTAACCAATTGAATTCATCGTTCGGAGATGACGTGATCACCTCGACGACCATTGACTCCTCGTTTGCCCTGAAAAAAAAATCAACCGTATTTCAAGGAAGAGTTTTCCGCTCTTAGCTATTTACATATTCACCTCTACTCATAAACTCATTGCTTTTCCAACTGGCGAAATGTATGGTAAAAAAAAGGTCAAAGAAATCAAAATCAAATCATCATACTAAAATAAAACGCCGTGAAAAAGAAGGACAAGACAGAAAAAATTAAGTTCTGCAGGGCGGAAGTGGTGTAGTGGCAAGTGGCACGCTTACCACGCGAGCGGTCCGGGGATCAATCCTGGGTCGTGAGTCGCCCGGGCCAACCAAGCCTTCCATCCCTCCGGGGTCGGTTAATTGGTACCAGACTTGTCTGGGAGGATAAAAACACTGACTTGTACATCGGCTGGCCCCCGCAAGTCATTGTATAGGCCACATCGCATTCAAACGCCACTACGAATGTACAAATGGAAGTAGAATGCGTGCCGCATCCCAAAAAGGGATTGATCAACGGCAAATGCTTTATCCTTTATCCTTTAAGTTTTGCAAAATCACAATGAATCACAAGGAAGCGAAATGACCAAGAACATTCAAAATAAAGCTACCTCTCTCTAGGTGCGGGAGGCTGAAAGACAGGCAGCCTAAGAGTGTTCAAGAGATAATGAGCGTCGAGCGATGGGCGCTTGAGGAGAATGATGGTTCAAGGCCCTATTGTCCTTGCCACGGTTGGAAATAGCACTAACTCTGCAGTTGCGGATCCACTCCACACTGGTGAAAACCAAGTAGCACCCCATTGTGCTCTACTTCTTCAAGGCTAAGGGTCAAAATAAGAGCCTAAATAACGTTATAGATTAAAGCTTTGATGATTCGATGATGATGTTCGCTCGAAGTATCTTTTTCGATAACAATCGGCGAATCAGCTTCGCATAGAGCGGAGAAGCGGTCTTGAGGCCGCTAATCAGACCTAGGAAAGGGGGCGCGACATTACCGGTTCTTATCACAGTTTACTCCAAATGAGCACGCTATCTAAGCCGCTATACTGAGCTATAGAGGTATGTCTGCTCAGGGCTGGAGATCCTGAGCACAATGAACTAACTTTCCCCAACTCCATTTTCCCCGACCCCCCCCCTACACCTTACTCTAGGAGGGAAATTTCGCAGTAAATAATCGCAAAACTTTGCCTTAAAGGAGGAATTTACGATTAGAATGAAGGTCGAAGAAAGGGAAACTGACCTAGTTGAGGGACCCACGGACCTCCTGAGGGTGCGAACTGACGCGCAATTCGCATGGAAAAATTTGACCTCAAAGCTGGCGGGTCCGGCGATCTCCGCCCACCGATCATCTGATCACTCGCCGTAGTCATACGTGGCGAGTGATTAGATAGCTGAGAGAGCGTAGTGTTGAAGAGGGCACAGCGATGAGAGTCGCATCAATGCTCAAATCAACGGGCAAGGAAGGGGTCCCATTTCTCGGGTTCTGGGCCGTTTCTCATGGTTTTTCCTTCTTTCGTGTACCACTCACCATCCCTAGGTTAATTTGAAATGGGTTGCTTTTTCATCGTGAATTCGTCCTTTAAAGTGAGTGCGAAGTTCACCAATTTGGCAGGATCTGACCGCATGCAGACTAAAATGTTTCTAATGGTCTTCCATGTACACGTTTCCTATTTAGTCCGGGTTTGAAAGCTTTAGACCGTTATTCAACGGGAACCGGTCCTCGTCTCCGTGTTCCTCCAGCCTTATTGTCTCATTTCCATGAATCTTTCTGAAAACCCACACAAGCTCGTTCGATGACGATAACGACGGCGTGGTAACCTGGGAGCCCATCAGATCTCTCTCGATATTCTCAGCTGCTTCGACGGCTGACCGGTCAACATTCATCGAGTTCCTGTGCTCTTCATCACGGAAGGCCCGGTCGATATTTCCGACCCGGAATTCAGCATGTGGAGAAGGCGTTGTGGTAATCGGTGGTCGGAAGACGCTGACAATTGTCGTTGTCCAACCGAGGTGTTTTCGAATTGCGGCTTGACAGGCCTTTGAGTCTAAATATGTTTATTTAAATAAAACGTTTTCGAGTGACATTAAAATGGTTATTGTTAAAAATTGTTCCACTAGGTATCTTACATAATCTGCACTTTTGAATGTCTGAGTTCGTATGGACCATGCACAAGTGTACGGTAGGATCGCAGTTCACAAAGCATTTACCGCCAGCTGGTAGCCATTCAGACTCCGAGAACGGATCACCGCCTGAAAATATCGATTTGTGCAGCTATACGTGATAACTGGTCTCTACACTGCTAAAACGTGTGAAAAACTGAAACTTTTAAAGCTTTTCAGAGCTGCAACTACCAGTTCTCAGGTGAAGTCTGGCAAAATTATTACCACTTCGCCTCTACTATGGACCCTTACTTAACGAGATCCATCTAACTGACTACGTTGACGAAAAGTGGGCTTATTTGGCAATGTCATTGGTAGACGGGTGATTGGGCGGTCTGGTCACCCTTCGGAATGCCATTGGCGGATGGTGTAGGCGGTCCGGTCACACCTTCAAAATGTCATTGGTTGATGGGTGGTGGGGCGGTCCGGTCACACATACCTAACGCCTTAAATTTATCTTCGCCTGCCAGCCACAGCAAGAGCCTTTAAAAGCAGGTCCTCATGATCAAGCTGATGTGGAAATCCCATTCTAATGTGGAAGGGAGTAAAATGGACCATCAAGTGAGAAGGAAAAAGAAAAGAAAACGTTCAAAACGCTAGAGCCTTCCGTTGCGGAAGGATCTAATTGTAAGAGCAAGACAGGGAGAAAAGAGATAATGAGAGCCGAGGAGAAAGAAAAGACGTCAAGTTGAAAGAGCATAGTTAACCGACGACGCAGACGAGATACCGCCACGGCAAGCGTACGCGGATTGATGGGGCATATGAGGATCCAAATCTCAAGCCCCTAGCGCAATTCGAGGCGCGAAGCTGTTGACCCAGCGACTAGATCTACCGTTGGGATTTATCTTTTGAAACTGAAGGAATTTGCCGTCTTTGTGACGTCATTTATCATTTTTGCAAAAATTCTGAAATGCTTTGGAGAACTTATCATGCCTTTTCTTGACAACTATGCGCTAACATCATAACGTTGTTCAAGAGTAATTTTTCCCAAGTAATAAAGAACTTACATATTGCTTCGTTAGCGAAGACAAATCGGTAGACGAGAGTGATAAGGTATTTATCATCATCGCTTCGTACGTCAATGAATATCATAGAAAAAAGGAGTAGCGAAGCAGTGGTAGAATCGAATTTCATAATCTCATTAGTCCTGAAAATGGAATTTTCCAGTAATCTTTGATCGATAATTTTTTCCACGGAATGATAATGCGAGGATAATCAAAGGGATTTTAGGAAATACACGAGGTGAATAATTCAGCATTTTTCGGGTTTTGACTTGTTTTTGTTGCAGCGTATAAGTGCTGACAAGCTATGGTAAGTATACCATGAAGAGCTGAGTTGGAATGAAATGGTGCCCCGGTAGCGTAACTGGTAGCGCACTTGCCCGGAAAGCGAGAGGTGCGGGTTCTAGTCCCGCCTGGGGCGAAAGTTTTGTTCACAACCCAGCATTCTTGTGAAACATTTTTCGAATTTTCCAATTAGATTTTGGAACAAATATCATGGGTGGAGGTAGAGTGAAGAGCGAAAGCTTAGGGAACGGGGGACACTCATCGCGCGACGGCCCAGAATCGAATCTGTTTCAAATCTTGCCCAGGCCAACCAAGCCTACCGATCTTCCGGGGTCTGTTTATTGGTACGAACTCGTGTGCAGGATAAAATCAGCGTTTTGTGCATCACTGATTACCACAAGTTATTGTGCAAACCACATTTCATTCATATCCAAACTACGTTTTTAGACAGAAGAAGAATGAGTGACGTATACAAGCAAGGATTGATCAAAGGTCTTTGGAATTGAAAACTTGAAGATTTTGTTTTTTTTTCTAAACGAAAATGAAATGCAGCATCAATGAAAAGCGCTTGAAAATGACCCTGACCATTACCGCGTCAAATCGTAATCGGACTGAGTTTCAGGACACGCCGCTCTAGTGGAACGTGAACATAAAATATTTTAATAGGACAAAATTGGAAAGAGCCGCAACTCAAGAAAAATTGGAATTTAGCTGAGAATTGAATTCACAATACTCAGATTAACATAAACAGAAGAGGCTCCAGCTTTTCTCTGACCAAATGTATTGCTTATACATAGCTTACAAGGAAGGTCTTTCAGGGTGTGCCAAGCTTTTTCAAAACGGTCTTTTGCATGATATAGGGCACATGCGGGAACCACAGAACCATGGTTAATTTTTCCTGAACGGCCCTCTGAATACCAGAAAAGGGGGTCCCTAGTCACACCTTTTTCACCAGTTTTTCAATCAAAGTCTATTTGTAAGGGTTACTGACGTTCCTAATCATGAATTTGGTACTAATTATTCATGCTAACTCCATTTTGCGCGAATTTGGAAACGTCAAACGAAATGCAAAAATTGTCACCACGAGGAATCGAACTAGGGACCCTTTTCTGGTATTCAGAGAGCCGTTCAGGAAAAATGAACCATGCTTCTGTGGTCCCCATATGTGCCCCAATGTCATGCAAGAAACCATTTTGAAAAAGCTTGGCACACCCTGAACGACCTCCCTTGTTAGCCCTACGTCTTCAATATTCACATCGGGTTTCGTTTTCAAAGCAGCAGTGACAAAAAGGACAAAAATGGTAAAACAACGAAACTGCATCAAATTAGTATCAGCGTGAATGTAAAAATGATTTATAAAAGAATTTATGAGTGTTAAATAACTAAAAAAGTAGAGAACCTAATCGATCGTTAATAAGCATAATAACAATAATAATAATAGGTGCAATAAGAAAAGCTGAGTGAAACGCATTCGAGCTGCCGGAGTACTTTAATGTAGCTCCTACGGCCGGCAAAATTCGTGAAGCTATTCTTCAATGGCTCGATCACGTCGTTAGCGCCATCGCTGACAGTGTCCGACAGTGCCTCGATGTGCCCGGAAACCGGCCAAGGCAGCGCTGATGTGACACGCCACATATGGACTTGGATATAATAGTTGGCATCCGTCCCAGTCAGGCAAATGTGGTGTCAGTATACCAGAAAGGGACCATGGAAGGGTGGAGGGGGATAGGGGGACCAGAAAAGAAGAAGAGAAAGAATTTTTGATTGTAAGCAATTTTCAAATTCGTGAATCAGTGAAATATTCGACTATTGTGTAGATTTTCTAAGTTGCTGATGAGAAGCAAATGAAACCCTGTAAATAGCAAAATCTTCTCCACGCACCCGCCCCACCCAGAAAGTAACGCTGCAGAGGAGAGTTAGGTTCATCGAGCTGGAACTACATAATTTACATCCGCCGACACTCTGCCCACATGTATTCACTGACCGAAAAAAGGAATTCGTTACCATGGAATTTATACGGGCTAATGGAAAGCGTCGTTAGCTCAATGAGATTGGGAAATCTCCGAAAAACCCGACAAGCATCACATTTATGAGAATTAGGGTTACGACAGAGGTTTTTGGAAAAATCGTTCTCTCGAGGGATCCTTTATGAATAGCGAAAGGGTACAACATTTATATAGGGTTGGCCACGCTTGTTGCACTCAAATTCATAGTCAGGAAGTCGGCTAGTCCACAAGGGTCATCCATTCCCGGAACAGAGTCAAGAATGGAAGCCACTGGACCAGGTCAAAAAACAAGTCGTGTCACAGGTAATAGTGACAGCTCTTGTCCCAGGTCATGACAAAGCGCGAGGATCGGGCGATTCAGTGGAAGGCACCGGAAAACTACCACTATTAGAACGGGGTAAATTGAGTAGAAGGAAAGTATCACAGAAAAACTTTGTGACCTTGGCAAGAGGAACTGGCATTGTCCACCCAAGATGATTCACTTATAACAGTAAGAGCGTAGACCGATTTTATGAGATGAAGCTTTATAAGCCGAACCTGATAACCACTAAACCTTCCCGAAAAGATGGGAGAAATGGGTTGGGGGGGGGAGATATAACCCGGGATTTGACCCCACAAAGTTTGCGTGGTTAGTGGTGCAGCTTACCACCAAACACAGTCCCACCTACGAAACAGATATTATTGGGAAAATGGCCCGCAAACATGTGAAGCACACCTTGATATGTAATGGAGTTTTTCCACTTATTTCGTTAGGGGGAATATTGAAGTGAGTATGCCACTTATAGAACTTGGGACTAAGCTTTAGAGAAGGTAAGGGATTCTAGAGAGGACTGTGAGCAACCATTGTTCTCCCTGGTGTTTATTCCCAGTCCTGGGCTTAGTCCTAGTGTCACCTACCAGCGGTTTTTGAATGCCCTGTTTTGAATGTCCCCCCTAAGGACATGAGCGCCGCAACTTGTTTTCAAGGGCCTGCCAACCTAGAGTTTTTCTTTACCATAGTTTCCTACTTTCTTCCGCTCGAAAGAGCGAAACTATGATAGCTCAATATTCGGTGGTATGAAGAAGATGATTTTTTTATTCCTACTTATTACATGTTATCCTCTTGTGGGAAGGAATATAGTATTACCTAATCAAAAATATCTGAGAAAAAAAATTAGTAAACAGTAGAGAACCCCTGAGATTACCTCTTAAGCGAATTAGTGAATCTAGGTTCCTAATTTGAAAGTGGCTGAAAGAACAATCTGGGATACCGGTTCATTCCATAGAGCCCACAAAGGAACGCCTTCGTGCGAAAATCTCACTTTTTCTACCCGAATTCCTTCCGACCGTATGTCAGGGCGGCAATAAAGGATACATGGTTGCTTAAATCGTACAAGGACCACCCAGTGAGAACGCGACGCTCACAAAAGATTATATTTGAGCTGCAGCTCAGGTGGGAATTCGCTTTTCGATTTGAAATCCTGATCGAACGTAGGCTGAAAAATGGCAGAAAATGTATCCATGTAGCGACGAATGCATCATTTGGACCGAACATTCGTTCTCGAGCGCTCGATATTACACGCTACTGTTTTTCACTTAGCAAACATTGACGGTACATTCATAGAAATCGTGCCCGAAAAAACAATCTCTACAATTCAAAAGTTGTGACGCAACAGACATCGAGACCGGCCACTTCACTCAGTCCCACAAAAATTCTCCCATAGCCTCTCTGCATTCAAGGAGAATGAGTGGAATTGTTTCATGTTGAATTCTATTAATACTGACGGAGACCTCCAAGTAAATCTGGTAATTAGTGATTTACAGTGATAGCTGATAGTTGGTGAATTGATTAGTGACGTAGTGGGTAGTTGTAATTAGTGACAATCGATAGAATACAACTGCAACCGGCTAATCATTTCATTGGCAGAAAACATTTACATTTTGTGGAGGCCGTCGTCACTTGTGTTGTGTGGTCTGCACTCGACGAGCAGCTGGCTTTCGGGAACAGCGCTTACATAATAGTGTTCTTATCTCTTTACATGAGTCTGATACCACTTGGCTGAAGCGTGACGGAGTCTGGAACTGAAGGAGAGAGATAAGCGAGAGTAAAGTCAAATGACTTCTTAGTTTAATTCGAGAATAACGTAAGATATGCTTGAGAAAACTCTGCAAGCTCTTTCTTGAGGAAGAGAAGCATTTCGCTTGTTGTACCACATTTCTGTGCCGCTGGAGCTGACAGTGTTTCATCGATGGTGCAGTGCCACCATCTCACAGCAACACTGTCCAGATGGAGGGATCAATGCCGAGTGGGATGTGCATATTTGCAATCACACCTGACAATTACTCTGCCCTCAACATCTCCTGCGATACTCGGCTTCAGAGCTTAGTGATGCAATGGTGTCGCGCTCACCTGTAAAACATGAGGCCGGAGTAGGAGCAAGTTTTGCAGACAGCACGGTGACCTGTTTGTCCTTAATCTACTTACTTCCCACGACCAAAGTAGAAACATTGAGAGTCACTTGTAACAGCTAACTTGGGGTGGATTAGCGCTATGCTACACCTTGTTCAGCGCCATCAAGGCTCATTTTGGCCTAACCGTTGAGAATTTCCATATTCCAGGTCTTCAGATATAGCCGCCTAAGAAGCTGAGCTATTGGGATGCTAGTCAGGATTAACCATTGCGTTGGAGAAAACCATAGCGTCAGCACAACCCCATCTCATAGATGGGACTTCAGCACTTCCCTCAAAGCCATTATCCAAAAATGTGAGGGGTGCGGGATGATATACTAACAGTTAGTGCCAGAACTAATCAATTGGCCAA